TGTGTTGTTTACCATTTGTTAATTCTTATCCATGTCTGCAATGTATAGGCTCAAAATATACCAAAATATCAAAATATTTCACATTCACGAAAATTTTGCAACGTTTCCTTAACAGACCAAATTCTTCAAATACTGTGGAAGGAATCATGAATAAAAAAAATATCTGACAGGAGAAAACTATTCGAAGAGATTCACATTTAGCTCGCGTAGTTCCCTGCTAAAAAATGGGTACAATGCATCGGAGCTTTGAAGAAACGTGCAGTGAGCTCAGCAGTAAAAGTTGCAAGAGCTTTAAGTTGCGGCTAGAGAAAAATATACTGAAAGAAAGCGGAACCAGCAAAAATAAGTGGGGTCATCCCGCAACATTACAAACCAATCAATGAGTCCCAGTTTTCTCAAAATACTCAACCGTCTAGAGGGATCCTCGCATTTACACTCTCAGGACTGATCAAAGCGAAAATTTTTCTAACAGCATCCAGAAATTTTCAAGCAGATGTTGTTGAGAAGAAGGAGAAATGTTTCCCAATTTAGCGGTACGAAGCAGCAAACTGCAACGCCATCTTAACTATGGAGTCAACGCACATCTTCGCAAGATTGTCGAGGCTAGGTATTGCTACTCAAATGCGACAGTTAAGCAACATTTACTGAATTTCTTTGTGTCGAACTTTATTTCATAATCATAGGTGACGAATTACTCCTTAATTTTGGCACGAAATTTCAGCGTTAATTTTTAATTTGACATGTGAAATTACAAAATTGCTATGGTAACATCTCTTGTATCTCGATTAGAGCCAAGATGGCGTCGAGATTTAAGACGATGACCCTTGAAGAAGTTACGAAATTAAAGACTCTCTGTCGACCGGCATACATTGCGCGCGTTTGTTATTGTTTTGATGAACTCTGAGTCCGACTTACAGGTCAATCCAAGATTGCGGCCATAGCTGGAGACACGGCGAATAGTTTAGTTGAGGCTGATTTATCGGGGCAAGAGGGCCCGGGACCACGGGTAAAAAATTATTGGTGTGGTAAGTGAATTTTTTTCCTTTAGATGATTTCGAAGCCTCGACATGCTTTCATATCTAGTTTGCCGTCGCGATCGAAGGACTTACCTTCACGCACGCGGCTTTTTTTCATTTAGATTGCAGATTAGAATTTTTAGATTAGATTTAGAATTTTTTTTACACGTAAGATCTTGATAAGCTTGACTATAAAAACTATACGATTGAGGAACGGTCATCACTTACTGCAATAACGCTTCAGAAAACTCGCTATCCGTCAGCTTTGAATATCCCTATGTATCTTTTTTGCTACTCCACTGCTCATGAACCGATTGCCGCAAATAAATCTTTTTGAAGGCTTCTAGCCCCTTAGGCCTACCGCCTGGTTTCTTCGCAGCCGCCATTGTTAAATTTACATCGTTTACGGTCTGTCGAGTTTCTTCTTAAAAATCGAGATAGCGACCAATGTAGCACCAAATTTTCTTCTCGATGTCGAGAACGATGATCAGTCTACACATACAAGTAAGCAAATGCCGATAAATACCGATGGATGCTTCCGGATTGAGAGAGATTGGAGATTAAAAAAGTCTTCCACGTAAAAAATCGAAAATGGAGGTTTCGTAGACCACGAAACCTCCGGTTACGCGCGCAATATATGCTGGTCGATAGAGAGCGGCCGAAATTTTAAATACGTGAAAGTGCACAATTAACTGGGTGCGAGTTTTTGAGAAGTGGTGTGACGAAAATATCCTTGAGAAAAACCTGGAGATGATTCTTTCCGAGCAGTTGGATAAGGTGCTAGAGCGATTTTACGCTTCCGTGTGGAAACAGGACGTAATTTGTCACCCATGATATTAAAAGGTAATCAATGGGAAGTTATCAGAATTTTGACAAAACGCGCGTGAAATTATTTCCTAATTTCACTCGTCGCCATTTGATTACACATACTTATTTAATTTATTTTCATGATTAAAATTGCCAAACACTGAGTCATGCGCGCGAAAATGTCGTCAGTATCAGTGTGATGGAATTTTGTGATCCGTAGCCGTGTGAGAAAGCAGGCAAATGAGCTATGAAAAGTTGGACTGGGTTTCTTTCAAAACTTTTTATACCTGACCCTTTCAAGACGTTTGCTATGACCTTTCTTAGGCACCGTGAGTATACCGGCAGAAACATATCCCGAAAAGTGTGAGTTAAAAAAGGAAATTTTATAAGGCCTACTCTGGGGCCCTAAGTCACCGTACTTTTGGGTGACTGGGCGATCTAAGGCGACTTAAGGCGACTCAAGCAAAATAGGCAGAAAAAACACTGCGACTTTAGGCGATTTAAGGCTACTTAACGCGACTTAAAGCCATTTTATTTGCCTGAAGTGATAACATCAAAGTTAGCAACAGTCTCTCCATAAACATTAAAAATGTTTACAGAATCCTTTGCAATAAACACAATATACGATTGAAGTGGGGTAAATGGAGTCAATTGGGAAGGGTGGGTGAGTGGAACCCTAATAACATTTCGTAGCAACATTGCGACTTCAGGCAACTTAAGGTCCCAGAGTAGGCTTTTATAGTTTCTATTTCTTCATTAGGAACCAAAAAAGGGCATGAAAAATAGTTATCACTACGCCCCTAGTAAGCAGAAAAGATAACACATTCAACTGAAGACTTAATAGGCTACTCTTGTCTTGTTAGAATCAAAATCTCTAACAATCGTTGTTTGTTTGGTTGATTCTTCTTTAATCTCTTTTCTTCTCAAGTTGTTACGACGGGGACTGACTTCTATCTTAAGAGAAAAGCGAGGGTCACCATTTATGAAGGTGACACTTCAGGTGACACTTCAGGTGACACTTCAGGTGACACTACTAAGCTGTCAATCTTCTTAATTGTATCGTCATCGTTCCATCTCAGCCAGCGAATCACGTTAGATTACGCATGACAGTTCCTGCTTACTAGGTATGCGCCCACGAGTTATTTGCGCAGTTACAAAATAATTTTCTACCTTAAATTTCTTATTCTTACAGTTGAAATCGGCCAGAAGAGAAACGAGATTCGTAATATAAAAATCACAAATAACCTATTGACAGAATATTATTCACACCTGAAAGGGTATCTTAAGAGAAAATTACCTTAGAAGACCGTTACATAACAGCATCATGATCACAAAAATTGGAGAAGAAGTTCGCAAGTACCGCCCCAAGTTGCTACGTGCCAGCCCAAGGGCGTAGCCAGGGGGGGTCCTGGGGTGCCCGTGACCTCCCCTTGGTAGGTCTTCTTTAGAGCAAACAACCTACAATATTCAGGTGGCAAAAACACCATGACAATATCTTGGCCGTAAGAGCCATTGTTGAAAAGCCCACTTATTTTAAAATTTGTTTATTTTTGTTAAGTATTTTCGTCAACGGCTCTTGTATTTAGGTAATATGGGCCTTCATGCCGCGATAATACGGCTGAGCCCGCTGATACACGCAGGAGAGCAGCGGTGTAAATGGTGAGTAGCCTCTGTGACCCCCACATTGAAAAATCCTGGCTACGCCCCTGCGGCCATAATTAATAACTACTAAATTGCGAGACATAAAGGTAAGAACGAGAGGTGTCGAACGTGACCTTTTACCAGAGAGATTTTACGTTCTTGGACTAACAAATCAACTCAATTAATAACATAGCTTTCCCAAGACATTATCACGAGTTCTAATTACCGTAAAAACTGAACAACTGTTTCCATGTCAAATTCACGATCATAACCAAGAAAACGTGACCAAACCTTACCTTTAAGATAACACTTCCAAAAGGAATAAGAAGAAATCAGCCTGCCTTTTTTCAATTTTTATATCGATTTATATATTATATTTAACGATCGAGACAGTCAAAAAAAATAGCTGTACATCTACAAAGGCGAACGATTCGAAAAAGACGCAATCCCTGATGTGCGTACTCATTTTAAACAAACTGAGACATTTCAGTATACACACTATAGTTCTTGTCACCCACAAAGAATTAAAAAAGACTTCATAAAAGGGGAGACCCTTAGACTTCTAAGAACAAACTCCTCTCAAACAATATTCGAGGAGAAAATTACAAATGAAGCGCATTTGCTAAAGAGAGGCTACCCAGAGGACCTCAATAGCACAACCCTCTCAAAGTGAATTAAAAAACAGGAAATTAGCTCTTCAACAGAAACAAAAAACGAACCAATGAATCTTGCCTTTTGTTACACAATACCAACCATCAGTGCCAAACCTAAAGCAAATTCTCATGAGACACTGGCATTTAATAGAAACACAACCACTACTGAACGAAATATACAAAAATCCGCTTCTCGTAGTTTACAAAAGAGGACGGTCGCCCAAAGACATACTTGTTAGGGCCAAACTTTAAAAGGCTACTCTAAACACGCGCTGGGGAGTCGTGTAGGCCTGTCAACCCCATTTTACATTGATTGCCCAATAAATGTGAAACCCCCTTTAGGTGAAATCCCCACTAATGCCTTTAAAGTGGTATGGATCTTATAGGAACTAAAGAGCAGGACACAGCAATTTATCGGCATCTCTAAGGCTCTTCACGCGGAAATCTTTCTTTAACTCAGAGATATCCCGTTTAGTGACTAAGAAATCTTTTTCCTGCCAATATCCTCAAAAACTTTAGACTACTTAAACAATATTATTTGAGAAATTATAGTCACAAATGCGCTCTCCAAGAATTTTCTGGCCTACCAAGCCTCGCTTTCATGCATTCGAAACCAGGCCGTTTCCGCGCGGCTGCCATTTATGAATGAGGTCTATAATAATTCCATTCCTTTTCCCGACACCAATATAAGGAAACCCTTACGAGTTTCAGATTAAACATAGTTGTATTTTTATCGTTTAACAAATTATCCGAATAGGGTGGACAGGATGAGCGCTCACGGTGACTGACCACTCCCCCAGGTGTCGTTATATGCATGAATTAGAGGGATGTGTGTGACGTGTGACGCGTCAACCGCACCCACCTCTTTACTTATTCAGCTAAACATGGATGTTCATCAATTGTTTAATAATCTCAAGAAGGAAGCCGAGTGTCCGCTGTGTCTAGAAACAGTCAAAGATCCCAAGACACTGCCATGTTTACACTCATTCTGTCTGCGGTGTATCGACAAACACGTAGAATATGCAAGGAGACAGTTACAGACGACCATCAAATGTCCGGTTTGTCAGACCTGCTTTCAGATCCCTGAAGGAGACACGTTTAGCAGCCTTCCCACATCTTTTCATCTCAACCGATTGGTGGATGTCTTAGCCCTGAGAGATGGCAGCGAAGACGCTCAGAGATGCGGCAGTTGTGAAGAAAACAACACTGCAACTTGCTACTGCTTTGTTTGCCAGAACTTTCTGTGTAAGGATTGTTTTGAAGCTCATCAGCGCCTGAAGGCCACAAGAAGTCATCGCAATGTTTTGATCGAAAATTTGCAAGCACAAGATGTGGAGGAGTTGATGCACAGACCGGTCATGTGTGCAATGAAATATCACGAGAATGAAACGCTTGATTATTACTGTCAAGATTGTAGGGTTTGTATTTGCCACAAGTGCAGTATAGTGAATCATAATCGACATTTTTTAGTAGACTTACAGCAGGCTGCTGAGGAACAAAAGATGCAAATGGCGCAAGTCTTTGCCAGAGTTATGGAACAACTTGTCACAGTGGAGACGAAGATATCGGAGGAAACTGAACTGATGGGAAGAAGCGAAGAAGAAATCTGCGCTGCCGAAGAGGCAGTCACGAAAACTGTGCAAGAAATTATTAAAATTGCAAAAGAACATGAAACGGCTACAAAAACTCTGCTGGCAGGAATTAAATCCACGCAACAAAGGAATTACGCAGCAAAAAAAGAAAACTTTCAGTTATTCGCTGCTCAGCTAAAGAGTTCTGTTGAATGCGGCAAAGGTATCGTACAACGAGACGTCGGTCCTGAAATTCTGCAAGCAGGACGTGCTGTGCTTGATCGGTGTGAGGAACTTTTAACCACACAGGATATTGAATTATGCAAACCTCAACGTTTCGTCTATTGTGTAAATGTGAAAGCTATGAATATTATAAGAGGCTTGGTTCCGGGTCAAGTAATCGATATTTACACCGACGCTTCACAATCATCGGCTGAAGGAAGAGGTTTAACAGAGGCAGAAGCAGGCACTGAAACTAACTTTACAGTCACTACACGAGATTCAAAGGGAAATCAGAGGTATAATGAACAAGACCAACTGACCGTAATGATCCGCTCTCAAACAGGAGAACAGGAAGAAATTGACATTGATGACTGTAACGATGGAAACTACACAGTGCGTTACAAGCCAAAGAGTTTTGGCTCACGTGACATTTCTGTGGAGGTGAATGGCAAGCCGCTGAATGGTAGTCCTTGGAAGATTCAGGTGAATGGTCATCGGTACAAGATTATTCACTCATTTGGATCACGTGGGACAGGACCCGGACAGTTCAAAGGATCAGAGAGCATTGCAGTGAGTAAAAGATCAGGAAAGATTGCCGTCGCAGATTATGGTAATCGCAGAGTTCAGTTGTTTGATCGTGAGTTGAACTATCTGAGAGCAATAGGAGACAAAGGGCGTGCTGAGAGAATTGAGTATCCTAAATCAGTGGGATTTACAGCATCTGATGAAGTCATAGTGATTCATGGAGATATTTTAGAAAATTCTAAAATCTTCTTGTTCACTGAACATGGTGACTTCATTAAAGTCATAAGTCAGCATCTGATTGATCCATATACTGTATTTGTTAGAGGTGATGGTCACATGATCGTGTGTGATTGGGGTGACAACTCAGTCAAGGTGCTCTCTCCTGACAGTACAAAATTAGTACATTCCTTCAAAGGAACAAACAGTTTTGGCCACCCGTGTTCTGCTGTTTATCATGGGGATAAGTTTTTTGTATATTTCTCAACTAACTGTGTTAGAGTATTCAACAACAAAGGACTTCATCTGTATGATATTGGCAAGAAAGAACGTGGAATTGGAACATCGGTCTACGGTGATAACAAACTCGTCATTGATGCGTTCAAAAATCTGATCGTTTGTGACCATTATAGAGGCAGTCTTAATGTGTTTTCTTTAGATGGAACATTTATAAATTCTTTTAATAAAGAATTTGACGGTTCCTCGTCTGTCGCTGCTTTTGATGATAAGTTGTTGGTTTGGTATGAGAATGAAGATGTAATGCATGTTTTGCAATAGAATGTGAACATTACTCAGCAGTAAATCTGATGTGAGCCCTCGAACTTTTTCGTTATTTCTGTATTGTGATCCTGTTTTTCACAGCTGGTGAAATTTTCTTTGCTGCTGGCTCAAAGACGGAAGAAAAGGGCAAAAAAAAAAGGGATGTAGTAAACATTTTTAAGGCAGGTTTGTTTCGCTTTTGTTTCAGTTTTTTAATTATTTATTTTTTCATCTTCTTTGCCTCTGTTTCCATTCATCGGTTGTACGAGGTTATTCAAAACAATAAATTAAGTGTCAGCTGATTCTGTTTGAACTTTATCGCAAAACGGTCCTACACTGAGGGATGTTCCTCCAGTTCGGCGTGCAAAGAAAACAAAAAAAAAAACAAAAAAAAAAAACCGTGGTTCAGTCGACCGGTCCCATTCAAAGAGACCCTCATGAAGGAGTTTGTTTTCAGGTGTAAGCACCAGGCTTGTCAGACATGAGCTCAAGTCGGCCGAGGGATTCCAACGTCGGTCAGTTGATTGAACGTCAAAAGTAGGAGATAATGGGAGAAACAATGCGTCATAGAAAACGTATTTTTCTTTCGGAACGTTCTGAAGTCAAAAGCTAAACGGTTGGACCCTTTACAATGCAAAGAGCGTCCGCAGGGCGTGCAGAGCGACATGCGCTTAAATCAAATCAGACAAAGCTGTTAAAAAAAAGAAAAACATCCATTGATAAGATAAACAAGTTCATGTTATGAATTAAATCCTCTTTCTACATGATCTCAATCACCCTTACAATAAACCAAATTCACCCTCAAGGATCTTACTGTGAATATTCTTTTTTCATTGTAAAGTTTCTATTCGTGTTCGACATTATATTGATATACAGCGGTGGGAGTTGGACCTTCAATCTCGCATCTGGAATCTAGTTAATGTGAAATTAAGGCTGACGTGTTCCACAAAATTTACTTCATTATGTCAGCCGAATAATTATTTAGATAACCCGAGAACGAATAACTGCAAAAATAGCATTTAAATTGGGATTATCTCTAAGGGAGGTAGTCTACGTTCAGGCGAGTTACAAATTGTCACCCTTAGCAGTGATTTCCCACCATGATGCCATCAGCCTGTCTTCCAGTCAAATAAGAATGATCGTCTGTATTGCTGTTGCAATCCAAAACCTCAGTCGCTCCGTAGCACGACAATTCTTTTTCCTCCATTTCAGCAAACGGCTCGACTTCTTCCGCACTCATACGCCGCCATCTTCTTCCTTCCCACAATTGAATTATTTTGGCTTTCTTGTTCGTCAGAGCGTGGCGGGACTCGCGCTGTAAATCCTGAAAGAAACTCTTTATCTTTTTAGCAGAACTTGGGCTCTTTTGAGGCGAGGCATCTCTGCTCTCTGGCGTTGAAACTTGAGGTTGTTCCTGTGGTGGACTTATTCTGCTCGGCGACGAGAAGTCATTCTTTGTTCCGGTGGCACTTTTTGGAGTTCTCTGGCCATTTCTCGGAGAAGTTTCCATTGCTGCAGTAACTTCTTCAATTGCCGAGTGCGTCTTCTTCTTTGAATGCTGGACGTTTTTCAACTTCCCAAGTAGTTCGCAGGGCCAAACCTTAACACAAATACAAATGCATCATTAAAAATGAGCTTCTTATCGCCCCCATAGGTTCTGTCCTGGTGTACCGGTTCACAAGGGAATTACCATTGTTCTTTCTTTGTTTAGGAGTTATTGGTTAGCTCCCATAAGTCACAAGACCTCAGAGGCGGCTGTTTAAAATTCCAAACGACAGAATTCCAACAAACGGACACCTCTTCCCTTCAGTACTCGAGTCAGTTCTTTCGCATAATTCCGCTCTTTTATCACTCGCATTTGATCTCATTTCCAACCATAATTAGTCATGCAACTCGAAGTCCGTGCATGCATTGTTGCCTCGCCTCCCTGAATGCGTTCAAATTAGAAAGACAGAAATGACAGAGCACGGGTTTCCAGCCGAAGATTATTTAGTACTTTAGTCACAGCAAATATTCTTCAGCTCATTTTCTTTTCCCGAGCGTAGCTTCAAGTTCTATTTGTTTGCGAGGAAATTTTTATTTGTCATTATTACGACAGGATCAAGGCTCGTTGACACATCAAAATTAAGTCTATTGTTATTTAAAACATGTCAGAAACTACCTATTTCCCTCACTTTAAAAATACTTAGTTTACAGGAAGACAGGTTTTTTTCCCCTTTATTTCAATTTTTTTAACAGCGTAGGTTTCCCTATCTTTTTAGAACGTTACGTTATAAAAGTAAAGAACACATCGATATCGTCTATATTGTGTCCAATAATTATATTAAACCTAATTACTGTTCATTACAATAATTTTATTTTGGGTTCCAAGTCACATGTTTACTCTGCACTGGGAAGCACCCATGTCGTCGCTGAAGGCTCTAGTTCCCAGGGTTCTCTCATGGAACCGGTTGCCCACTTAAAAACAGAGATTGCAAGAGATCTGGGCAGGAAAAATTTGGGCCAACCTGGCTGTGGGTTCTGGATTTCTCTAGCTAGTCAGGGAACTGTTGAAGATGATTAGTCAACACATTTACCCCCAAGACCTGATCGTTAATTCTTCCCTCTACATGTTAAACATTTCCTTGTAAATGAGATAGAAGAATTTAGTGTTAGGTCAGGACAACAACTTCTACCTGATAAGTTTGCTTATTCTCGTTACCTGTTTGCTGGATAATGCGTGGTTGTTACAAGGAGAAGTAAAATGGTAATCACTTCTAGGAGTTAAAGTTTCCGTTCTATATCTCGTCTCCCATTCGCGCTACATTTCGTGCATGTCAAATACATAAATTTGACACTTACAAAGAATCTGTCGATTAACATAACCTGTCGAGTTGTACTCTGATAATATTATGCCCTTTAAAGAGGATAAAAACAAACAAACAAACAAAAAAACAGGAGAAGAAAAAAAGGCACCCACATTGTTCAAAGTGTGATTTTATTATTCAAAATAATCTATGAAAAGCGTAAATTATAACTGACTCTACAGTGTTAAATTTCTAAATTACAATCCTGAATTAGGGCACTACTGAGTCAAAATGCATAACTAAACTGATTGGTTTACAACCTTATTCATACTAACATATTAATTTAGGAAAAAAAAGTCACTCTATTTGTCAAAGCATAAGGATGCAATGTGTAATTTCTGCAGGGCTCCAAGCTTTCCTATACAGATGATGCACTGAAACTACTTAGACAATCCGCATTCAGTAATAGTCAGTGCCTTTTTTTCCTTACATATTTTTTTATTCTTTTCTTTTCCCTGCATGAGAACTTTTTGTTTACTTTTTGTGATTGACTAGGAAAGCATCTTCCAGTGTATAAAACTGCTGAACAAGGGTACAGTAATAAATATCCCACTGTTCTCAGATATATGGAGGAAAGTGGGAAGGAATAGGGAATGGCTGGCAAGAGATTTGCCTACAAAGGCTTGATAAGTGCTTTTTCCATCACTTGCTAACTGGGAGACACATTCCCCCCTCCCCCCTCACCCAAACTTCTTCCCACCTTTTGCAATTTGAACTTCTCACGATCAAATTTTTCAATTTGTGAAAAGTTCTGAAAGGTTTCCTTACCATATTCATAATTTCATACCACAAAATAAGAGCAAAATGCCTTTTATGTTAGTGTTGTAAAATCAAAACCAAGTAATCAAATAAGAGGAAAAAACACTGCTTAGAGACCTCGGAGGAAAAAGAAGCTTAACAACTTAAAGTGTAGGAAAATAAGAGTAAGCATGTTTTTTCCATCAAATACTGAATTTGGTAGGTTGAAAAAAGATGATGAAAGTTTGCTGTACCAAATGCAGACAGAGGAAACAAACCCAAAAGACACCCTGCCTACACTCTACATGTATTTTGACAATCTATTGAGAATTACTCTCTGAGTTAAATATCAATAATAATCACTTTGACGTCAAGCTCATGCAAGATCTTGGTTACTTATTGAAAAATTTTAGTTTTAGTCCTGCACCTTCTCCCTTCCGTTTCAAATTAATATCCGTTCAGCAAAAATTCTGTAGGATTAGTTTTCATTGCCTTTATGGAAGGGGTAAGAGGTGCATCTGGGAGGCAAGAGATCATAAACTAAGGTCCAACCCAGGATTTTGCCACACTATCTGTTTTACTGTTTATACTTATCTTTTGGTGTAAGTTGCTCTGGAAATTACTTGAAATTACTGGCAGGCACATTAATGTAAGGTTCAATTTCAATAAATATTTCATTCTCTGCAACATCAGAAATTCCTACGATGATTCAAACTGTACCACAAGGGCATCTCTGTGCTCAACATGAAAGCCAGATAATGATGCATCTGCTCCTTTGGCAGCTTGGATAACCTAAAATTAAGCAACATTTTTTCTTCCAGATTGTGTTTCATTTCACAGATTCAAATAAGAAACATAAAAAGGTAAAGCTACCAGTGAGAGTAAGAACTCTCTGCTTTATATATTATTATATTAACATGTATAAGTTCGCAAAATCTCAGTGCCAGTTTTGGTAAGGACAACTTCAGAGGTTTCAGTAAACTATTCCATAATTGGCTGCTGAAATTGTATTAGGTGGTGGTGTTAAAATGTGAAACCCAAACACGAGAGCCTACGCACAGATTAAACAGACAGTGGTTGTAGACTGCCACTGACTAGTGTTTGAGAATCCTGTCTTTTTGCTCTTTGGATTTTGCCCCTAACCATAAACTATTCTTCGAGAGAAAACTAGGTCATAATGGTTCCATTCTGCCTTCCTCAAAGATAGCACACTTGTTAACATCTTGATGTTTTCAGGAGGGAGAAGTACTTTAGTGGGCTAACAAATAAAGTTCTGGGTTCCATTACTTCGAATTTCCAATAACTTTAATGATACCAATTTTTTTTATTTGGTTGGCATTTCAAATTATTCCCACAAGCAGATTTAATCTTGATTGCTTATTCCTATTTCGTCCCAACCTAGGAAATGACTATCACTCTACCGTGGAAAAATTGTTGTAATAACGAGATGGTCTATTCAGCAAGGCCATACAATTATAAAAAAAGGCCTGGGCTTTCAATTCATTCCCGACACAAAAATACTGGCCATCAGTTGCTTCAACAAGACAAGTATTTCCACTGTGTTTAGTGAACAAATACTTACAAATGCTACATCTCCTTGTGGTATAGGTTCACTTGCTAACACGGATGAAGGTGCCTTTACTCCACCAGGAAGGTTGGATCCGTTATGTAGTGCTGAACCATTGACAGTAGATAGTTTTGACCTGGATTTGCAATAATGGTCATGAAAGGTTAACAATAGCTGTAGTTGCACGGTCAAAAATAGAGACTTTCCATCTACTAATGTCAAAAGGGCTCTTGCATTAGTTCTTGTTTTTTTTATTTTTTATACACTTTCATGTTAGGTTCTTGTTTAATATACTATAATTGTTATTTAACTCTCTGTCTATCACTATTATTCTTCACGAGGTCATCCCACAAGGTATAATTATTTTCTTCCAGCAAACTTGAATTTTTATAGATAATATAATAATAATAATAATATAGATCAATTTCTATAGCGCATTTCCATGTAAATGCTCTAATGCGCTTTACAACACTGTGCGGGGGACTTTTCCAGACTGCCGGCGGCAGTTTACAATTAATAAAGGAGAAATTTTTACAGATGCCCCCTCCCCCCCTTCCCAGTAAACAGGCCAGACCACATCACAGTAATCTCGTGATGTGGGTTCTTTAACGTCCCTTGCCGAAATTAACTAATTGATAGGTGCAGGAGACGGGACCTCCGGCTTTACGTCCTATCCGAGAAGACGAAGCAATGTGAGTGAAGCGTCTTGCTTAAGGACACAACGTCAAGCCCCAGCCAGGACTTGAACCCGGGCCATCTGACCTAGAGTCCAGCGCACTGACCACTGGACTACTCACGCCTCACAGAGAAAGATCAGCATTAGGTTTTGCTTGACAATTCTGTCAATATGCCCTTATTTAGTATTAATAAAAATAACTGCAGAAACTCTTCATAGTGGCCAATTCACATTTTTCAACTCAGTTGATACACCAAATTTTCTAGTTATGCTCCCTACTGACTGTACACCACAGTTTCCTTAGAAAGTCTCCCTCTTCTAACAATATTGCAAGTTTCATCACTTTCTACATTAACCATGATTGTGAAATTCAGTCAAATTCATATAAACTGCTCAATGCATTTTCAACATTCCAAAATTAATTTCTTTCACCATCAGAATTTCTAATGATACAGTTGAATACCCAATGGCAATCCACCTACATGTATTGCCTGGATCTTTCCATGTATTCTGTTCTTTCTATACTGTGAGGTTCAGTTGAGGAGACATCTATGACTTTGCTGCAACATAAGCAATGTAGGTAGTTAAGTTTGCATGGATTGCATGGAAATTATCCTTAGGCTATGTTCTAAGGGTCATAAGTCTTAAAAACAAATTCAAAATGTACAAGTTAAAATCCCTAACATGTAAAGGCTTTGATTCCATTCTTTAGCAGGAGAAAGGTGAGCATTTATACCCTTAAAGTTCAAAACTTTTCATTTCATTATTGGTTGTGAAAATCTCAAATAACTTCATGTCATACTTAAGCTGTCCCATATGACAATATTGATGGTATTACGTGGAAAGCTGAAATCATATTTTGGTTTTCTTCAGGGTTGAAACAGGTATATGATGGTTAAATTATAAAGGTGTTTAGGAGTAAAACTTTACAATCATAGAATTAACCAATTTGTATTTATTATTCTTTCTAGTCAGAAAGTCTTAGTTTAATGGCTAATAAAATAAGCAAAATTTTGAATGGTTCATTTTTCCTCTTGGCAAAGTCTTGGCTTCAGGGCTCAGATTGAGTTACCAACAAAAACCCTTTTGTAACAACTGGCCAGATAAACCAGTTGTCAACTCTTACATGTATCCATGTGCAACCCTCCAATGAACAACAGATCATTAACAAGTAAAATTACATACTGTGCAGTTTGATGAAGTATTCTGCTTAACAGTGATTGTTCATCTGTCTTGGATATTGGGCCAGAACTATGGTTGAGTGCATCATCACTGAAAATGAAACCAAATCAGCTTTGGTCTAATAGGAACATTTCTGCTGTTTATTGTTTGCTAGACCAAGTATAAGTTCCAAGGCCCTCTTAATTGTAAGCATTCTTAAAACAATAAAGTTACTTTATATATCACTGAATACATAATGTAACATGTCTGGTGTATTAAGATGCAAACCAGAAAAACTGGGCTAAGTCTAGTGTACAGGGAGTTGAGATTACAGGTACATTTCCACAAACAATAAATAAAAGTAAACACATTTCTTGAATGGGTGGACATGTTTGATTTTTCTGTTTGGGTTTTTGTGTCTTTTGATAGGTTCCTATCAGAGAGTTTCTTGATTCTGTTAAGGAACTCTGTTTATACAACAATTATTAAAAAAAAAAAAAACAGCTGATGCCAAGATTAACTGTTAATTCATCAAAGTTCAGTGAGAAAGTAAACCCCTAATTCACCCAAATTCCGAGGTTCACTTCAAGGCTCTCTAACAGCACCCGGTGGCCCTGGCACCTTACTTTTGCTCTTAGCGACTCGGAAATTTTAGTTTTTTCATACAAAGCATACGCTGGGCACCCTGGATTTCACAGTTTCAGAGCACTGGGCTCCATTCAATTTTCCTTAGAGCACAGCCTTACACTTCCAAACATAACAAGCCTTGCACTTCCAAACATAACAAGCTCATCCCTCTGCCATAGTGGAGAGAAATCAATATTCATCAGAGAGAACGAGGGTTAGGGCAAAGGTAAAATGCAATATAGAGAGAGCTTAAAAGTATGCCAAATAAATAAAACACTGCTGTTAGAGGTTCTCTAACCTTGAAGAATTGCAATGAGATAATACTCACATGGTCACAAGATCCCCTCCCCCTCCCCTTCTCCCTGACCTAAGCAGATGGTGGCATGGAAACTAATAATAATCAACTCACACAGGTCTCTGTCCATTAGCAATTGGAGTTGATCTTCCTCCCAGTAAAGGATCTCTTTCAGATGCTTGTCTCTGCAGAAAATACACATCAAATTGCATAGACATGTCAATATTTCGAATAACTTAACAATCAGGAACATTTTAGCCTATCTGAATTAAATAAGCTGTATATTTAACAATTATTCCACGAGCGCGCGTTGGATATGAGATGATAGATAGCCAACGAGGCACGTAGCGCCGAGTTGGCTATAATCATCTCATATCCAACAAGCGCGAGTGGAATAATTGTTTTATTAAAAACGCCCTCAAGAAATTATTATTTTGTAAGAAGAAACTGGATTTTTTAGCTCCCTTTTGATTTTAAGCTGACGCGTACGCTTACCATATTTGTAGATTATGGTATATTGGCTGATATACCATAATGGCTAAGCCAATAAAAAGTCTTGAATTGCATTATCCAATGATCCAGTTTTTAATAATATACTATTAGCCTAGTACTTAATTCGATGAGGCAGACACGATCTCTTATAAAGTGTACAACATTGCAATCATCAAGTGATTATTGACTCACTGACGTTAACTACTGAATTCCCGATTTTGTTTCCTGTCATAATCATCTCACTGTGCTTAGAATGTACAGATCGACCAAAGTATAGGATAATTTGATAATTGTGTTATTCATTACAATGTACGTTACGATTACCTGATCTGACTATTGCAGACAAAAGTCTATTCAGTTTATAGCAATAATCATACTGACAAAATATATCTATGTGAAGAAAGATATAGAGAAATTTACAAAGAAAGCGAAAAAATATAGATTTTTGAGCCTAAAAAAAGACTGACAGTCACATGACAAATCGAACACTCACGATAAAGAAACATAAAAACCCACTTACAGAGCCAGAAGTACTCTCCTCGCTGCTGAAACAGCACCCCATTCCTGTAAGACTAATCTAGACTGTTTGAAGAGGAGTTACGCTTGTTTCAGCTTGCCAAGTGTCTTCAAAATCTGAAAAAAGTACGACACACGATACTTCAAGTTCAATCGATCTTGCAAAATCTCACAGGAAATTCAAACGTAGCAGGCTTGGTTTCTCAGCCACACATTCAAACCGCGCTAAGATTTGTGGGATTAGTCCAGACAGTTTCAAAATCAACCGCCAAATCTTCCGAGCAGTTTACATTCTATTTTGCGGTTCGATTTGTTCGTTTACTCGATTTTGCTTCTGTTTGGACTATTTTTAACGTATTCCGCAGGGTAGGTTCCTAGGGAGTTTCAAAATGAATGAGGCAAGCTCCAAGTTTTTGCTGAACTGGGTTAGTAATCTGTTCTGTTTTCCATTTCCTAATAATGCGCCCAGCTAAAGCGCAATCGAGTTTTACATTCGTCTGCATAAATTTCACCTGATTTCATCCTATTTGCAGAACTGACTGGAATATAAACATTTTTTTACCAATTTTACAGCTAAATTTACTTGAATAATTCTCTTTTTTAATCCTGTCTTTGTTTGATCGCAGATCAACGCAAATGCTTCAAGCGAAGAGGAGAAAGTCCAGAATATCACAGATCCGGGCAGCAAAAACCTTTTGCTCAAGATTCTTCATCTAATGTAAGCATTAAGCGTTACATAAATCTCCTTTCTACTCGTCCGCTGTATTCGCCACCTTGAAAAGACGAGGATCGGCGAGAGTTGGCGAGGCTACATGTACGTTCGTGGGGAAGCAATTTGGTCTTATGTTTTTCATGAACATATTGCTTCCTCAATCTCCCCCGAATCCATGAGTCAGCCTCGGCAAAATTGCAACCCATTCGATACAGTTAATTTTTGTTTATCCTTCACATTATTTACTGGTAGACAGTCTGGTTTATGTGTACTGTAATTATAAGTGACGGGAACCTCAAATTTGTTTCGTATTGCAAGTTAGTAGCTATTCATATTGCATTGTTTACCCAAAAGACTCAGTTTATTCACCCGTCTTTCCTCCCAAAAATTAATTGTTTTTCGTTGCCCAAGTTTTAGTTATGTTTTTATGTCTACGTCCATTTGTAAATGCCACGCAATTCTGTGATCTTTAATTGTTTATGCTTTTTATTCTTTTCAATACTTTTGAACACCATTTAAATATCCCTGTTATCCATTATGTAACTGTCAGTGACAAGGAAACACTCAAAGATCTTCCAGGTGGCAGTGATGAATTCCAACTTGAACAAGTATTGTCTCTGATTATCTCCTACCTTAAGGGTACGTAAGAGTCATAGTTTAATAAAGTCATTTAAATCAAATTTAAGTGCAGTGGGACCCCATTAATACAGTCACCAGTGGGCCAAAACAAATTGCTGTATGGGTGGCTGTACATTTGTATTACTGAGGCAAAGTCAAATTTTTAATAACTTTGCAGTTTGCTGAACTGAATGTACTGGTCAAGATTTACTTCTTTTAATATCATGTTCGTAAGAAATTATTTTTAACAGGGTACAATTATAAACTAAGGATTCTGCTATTTGGGATTTTAAAATGTGACAGTTGGCCCTATGAATGGGTGACTGAATTGTAAAAAGGTTTTTGCATGAGGAATTTGTTTGGCCATTTTGCCAAGCCAAAAAAAGTGGCTATAGCTAGGAGGTGATTGTATTACTGAGGGAGCCATAAGACAGGGTTCCGCTGTGCCAGTAAACCTGAAACTTGTGACCCATGTTATGTATAATCAACTTGGATCAAGTTAACTGAAGGTACTCTTGACCTTTATTTATTGGTCAATAGTTCGCCAATACTCTGTTGAGACTCTGTTGATAGTCAATAATCTCGACCAATATATTGACTGGCTATCGAACTGGTGTCAACTGACATCAGTCAAGAATATCAACAGTAAACATGGTCCTTCAACTTTTGGTGTCTGAGAACATTGATTGAACTTACAGTATCTACATTGATTGACAAAGGTGATTGGTATATACACCTCCCTTTTGTAGGTGGTCTACAACCCTCCACTCAACATTTTAAAAAGAAACCTTGAAATGAATCTCTAATATGTTGCTCTAAAGTTCCCCTTTCCTATAAACAATGTTACAAGAATTAGTAGTCACTGTTTGGTTAATACCATGCAACATTGAAATGACACGGGAGAGAGATAGAGAGAGTGATAATGGAAAGTTATAGAAACACTTTTGCCACTCACTGTTAGCTTTAAGAGCCAAAATTAAGCTACATGTAGAGTTGATTTTGAAGACTGTTTGTATCAAGAAAATATTATGACTTGTAGAGAAAATTACTAAGTAAAAAGGAATGATAACCAATCTCATTCACACTTCAACACAAGCAGCATAGTTGTGCTGAGGTTTGCAAGGGATCTGGCTTGATGACTCAAGTGTCATGGGCATTGCTTCTTTTCAGTGGATCCCTAAAAATGACATGGTATTAAGGTTATTTAGCACTGTCTGCCTCTTCATACATTATGTACATTGTGTACAGTAAGCATGCAAAAACATTTTGATGCAGCTTTCCTCTGTACACTGTGTTTTACTCTTATTTTTTCAGGATTTCACCGCCAGGACTTTTACTCTGTTATAAATGAAGATTATCTCAGGAACAGAAGTGAACTAGAAATAGCAAAGGTTGCTTGATTCACTTCTTTTGCTCTTAACTATTTTTCAGTTGTTGAACTGGAAGATGGTCTTCGATTAATTATGAGTTACTATAATTATATACATTTGCCTGATAAAGTTTGATACATGTACATGAAAAATATCCCACATTTAAATGAACTGCTTAATTGTTTGTGTACAATCTAGTGTATTTTTGATAAGAGTTGGCAACTAGCAAAATTTGCTGTCCATTTCAGGACAAATCACCACCTCCAGGGAATTATCAATGATAGAGTAAGGATTGAACTTCCATCAGCTGTCTTTTTTCCATTTTTTGCTGCATTTGAAAACTTTCAAAACCTCTGTCCATCCTGTGTATCATGCTTGCAATTATTTGTGAGACATTAAAACATTGGGAAAGATCTCTCTAAAAGCACTTGTATTTGCAAGGCCAAAAGGCATGAAAATTTATGCTTTCTTGTGAAAAAAATTATTTTCTTCTTCTGCAGGTTATCACTCTTTTACTTTGTGGAGCAACACAGTGTGATAATGTAGCTGTGTTTGTGGATCAGATTACTAAAATGGATGTTGAAGATCAGTTCAGTTTTAAATTCCTGATTGAATCTGTGTTTACTGACATGGAACAAGGTTTTCTTACAGCTGAATCCTTTGCCACTATTTTAAGCAAACAAGGTTAGTTTTACAAACAGTGTAAGGGTTGTGGTCAAGCAGTGCGCAGTGGCCCCTGGTACCTTACTTTTGCTCTTGAGAGACTTGGGGATTTTAGGTTTCTTTTAAAGGCATATGTTGTAGTTCAATTTTATCCTTGGTTCAAATTTTATTTTCCTTCGTTTCAAACTCATTATCATACATTAACATGACCGAGAACAAAGGAAGATAAAATTTGAACCAAATATAAAATTGAACTACAACACATACACTAGGCATCCCGGACTTCAAAGTTGCAGAACATAAGGCTCCCTTTAATTTTTCTTAGAGCACAGCTTTGTACATATAATGTATGTACCTTTACATGGATTAAAATAACAGATGATCAAAAGACTGTTCAGCCAAGGTGATGCTTTTCCCAGACAAACACCTTATTTGCTATTTTGCACTACATTAGCCATGGTGAATAGATTGGTCAACATATGGATATATATAATTTGATATCTGTATTATAATACACTGTACTAGAACAATGAATAGTGTTTGTACAAAATTTAATTTTGCAGTAGTTATGGGAATCACTGGGTTCAAATATTTTTGTGCTATATTATCTCACCGTTTTAATATACACTAAAACAACTACAGGTTGTGTTCACCTCAGTGTTGATGGTTGGTGGTGGATATTTACCAAACACCTTCATGGCTAACCACATGGGCTGTGGTCTAGCAGTGCCCGGTGGCCCCTGGTGCCTTACTTTTGCTCTTGGGTGACTCACAAATCTTAGTTTTTTCATAAAAAGCATATGCTGGGCACCCTGGATTTCACAGTTTCAGAGCACTGGGTTCCCTTCAATTTTTCGTATAGCACAGCATTGGCCACCTCTGTTTCAGTGAACAGTTTTTAACCATGCAAGGGGGAGATCCAGGAAATTTTGATAGGCCAGGGAATTCAAGCTTTGATTCAGAAAACATTTTTTATTTGTAGCAGAGCTAGTAATACATATAGGCTAGAAATATTTCTATAGTATGAAGTAAATGGAAATTTGAAATTAGTGCTGTTATACTTGATGGAGAAAGTATTACATCTAGATAACTTAATAATATTGTAACTATTTGATTTTGTTGCAGTGAATTTATCAGAATGTCAAAAATTAGACCTTGATTCTGATCATGTGCCATCACCTTTAACTGTTCAGTCACCAGTGGAGGCTTTTTTCACCAATTCCCCTTTGAAATCTCTTGTGGGATCTCCACAGTTACGCAGCAAACAAAATCAGGTCAGTTTACTTTGTCCCATAACTTTATACTGATGCTATATTGATATTAAGGCACTGGAAGGATTTTTTTTTCAAAAGATTGTTCACACTGTCACCTGCAAGCACTCCCCATTGAGCGGAGAGCCATAGCAAGGCCATTATTCTTGTATTTGTATGCCTGCATGCTATTGGTCTTAGGGTTTTGACCCTCAATTTGCAATCACTGACGAGAGAAAATTGTTAGATACTGGTAGTTGCTTTCTAATGTCTAAGTCAAGGACATAGTTTCTGTTCAACATTTACAGCCAAAAAAAAATATATTAGAAAAAGATACCTTTTCCCTAAAAACTTGAGTGGGTAAGATACAGGATTGTAGTCTACACTTAGCAAGGAGGCCTCTCCAGGTAGAGCTGATCCCAGTTTTTATAGCATGAATGGACTAAGAGTTTTGCTACTTCCCCTCAGGTTGGGTTGCCCGACCATTCAAGGGTTATCCCCCTCACCCCACCCCCCCTGCCCTAACCGCTCCCCCCCCATCATTTCATTTGGTTTTCCCTTTTTTGCACAAGAAAATTACAATGACTGGGCCAAAATCGTCAAATAGATCCTGAAAATTTGATCCTACGAAAATTTCTTTTTCTCTGTCAATGCAAAAGATTTGCGTTAGAGTAACGGTGACCGAAGCCAGACGGCAAGAACTTCAATTTTTTGTCGTTTACCCATTTCCCTTAAACATTTTACTTATAATATCTCGGTCACATAGTTTATGTAAAACAAAGTTGTCCTTAAAAATGTTCTCTTTCATCTCTTGCAGTTAATGCTGAACAAGCTACAACAGAAAGTTACAAAGTTGCAAGCCTCTTTAGACTCACAGGCTCATTTGCAGAGTGATTTAGAGGCTGAGGTTACAGAAAAGAACAAGGAGATTGATGCAAGAGGTAACACAGCAAGGAAAATCTCGAAATTAGATTTTTAAGGATTTGCACTACGTACAATTTTTGTGGAAAGAAAGTCATGCAAGGTGGTTATACATGAGAATGGTAAAACCTTTCACTATGCAACAGCGCGAGGCCAAGTTGCTTGAGAGCCAATGAAATATCCGAATTGAGAATAAGAGAAGGAGAAGTTTTGACTGTAATGTACCTTTTCTCCGTTTCTAGATGCCACAATCTTAAAATTGCGAAAAGAGATCACAAAACTACTATCTTCAGCTGATGAACTGGAACTTATGAGGCATTTCAAAGATGAATACGAAAAGGCCGACAAAGAGAACGCCAGGTAACGAAAACAACGAATAATAGTAGGCTCTGTTGTATGGTCTGAGGACCCTAACCTTAACGGCAAACAATTTTCAATCTCTTTTGTCTGTTTTTCTAGCAGAGAAGATGTTCAGGGGGTTGCTCTGTTTCCGCTTTGTTCGTAGGAGAATCGAAGGTGGGAGGGGAGACACGACCATTGTCCAGGTAGCCATAAATTAATGCGTATTTCTTGGCTTTAGGTTAAAGCAAAAGGTGGTGGAACTGCAGACATTCAAGCAACAGTGTGGAGATCTTGAGCAGAAAGTTACCAACTTTATACAAGAAAAGGAACAGTTTGAAAAAGAGGTGAAGTTTTTGTTGTTGTTGCTTTTTATTTCAAAGCTCTCAAAGTAGCAGAGGTGACTGTCGCATTTGCTTTTGTTTTCTTCGAATGCAAGGTTTAAGTAAACAGTTTTCCTTTTGCATCCTATTTTCTCTCAGTTGCATGGGTTTCAATAAACTTTTTTTCCATGCGCGGATGCCGATTTCGTAATAGGACGCTGTGCCGCTTGAGCGCCCTTTAGGCGAAACCCAAACGCGAGAGCCTGCGATAAGGGTAAACAGGTGCTGGTCAGAGGTCTAACAGGCGGCCGCCCCCTGTAATCGGCTTTTATGAAAACCCCTACAATTGATCCTTTGGTTTTTCTTCACCTAATCAAACTAAAAGTTTAGTTGTCTGTGGATTCGCGCTATAAGAAATGTTTCCTTTCATGTACTGCGTGCCATTGCTCGAATCTCAGTTTCAAGGATTTTTTTCGTAATGAAATGAGCAAAATTTTATACGATCACTAAGTAAATATACATGGCATTTACTCCTAGAGAGAAGAAACGGATCGTTTAAAATCCATTGTTGACCGCTACAAGAATAAGATTCATCATATGGAGTTTAGAACAGGTGAACTGGAGGCCACATTGAACAGGAAAGAACAGATGATTGCAACGCTTCAGAAAGATTTGGAAGAGGTAGTGTTCCCCACCGTTAGATGATGTGATTTCATTGAATTTTCGCTCATTTGTTGAGGAAATATATCTTTTTCCTCTCACACGCCGTAGGTTAAATCGACTTTAGTGAATTAAGCTCATGTAAATTGTGCAGCCAGAATCTCGTTGTTTACTGTTTCTTCATAGTGCGTGGTTTTTGGTTGTTTTGACAGCCAACCAGGTTCAATATCAAGGGAAACTTTGAATTTGATTGAGATGTGAGAGCGAGGTCTACACTGCAGGTACTCTGTACTAAAGCCAGGAAATAGTTCCTTGCTTTTTAATCCGGACATAATTATGAAAGATTTTGTGTTCTCTACCATAGGCGTTTAGTGCTGCATCAAAATCTACCGAATTGAGGATGGAGAGGCAGAGGTCAAAGGCGCTTGATAATGAAGAGCTCAGGGAAAGTGAAGGTAACCATCACGAATATACAAAAGGTCATGCAAATAATAACTTCCCTTGTGCGTGATTAAATGTCATTGGCTAATATTCACAATCACCTCAGGTCTCATTTCTGTAACATCTTTCTCTTGGTTTTTGCACCTTCCTGTTGTTTTTACACGGACATGTGCATGGGTATTCTTGACCTCAATGCTTTAAGAGTACTTTATTATTTGTAAAATTGCGATGACAGTACGTGAGGGCTGTTTTAGATACTTTTATTGCTGAAACGTTGTCATTAGGGTATACATGTACAGAACAACCATAACTAGTTGCACAAGCTTAATGATAAAACCATTCGCACTTTCCTGAGAGGAAATAATTATCATAATCAAAGATTTGGTGAACAATGGAAAAAGTTAACCACCTATTATGTAACTGTACGAACATTTCTCATAAAGCCCTCTGAGTCTCATCGTTCATGGATTAATGCTTTTCGGGCGTAAAAGTTTTGCAATCGATTGTATATCTTCCTTAACCCGCTGATTGGCTAAATTCACTTACTGGGCCAGCTGGTCACAGAGTGCTAGTGAGTGGGAGAATCACGTTTTTAATCAGAACTTCCCGAACAGATCACTCAGTTTGTAAAGTGTATCCTTTACCCTCTGAGAAGATTCAGAGAACATTTGTGATGATAATAGTAATATACTATTACTACTACTATTATTATTATTATTATTATTATTATTATTATTATTATTATTATTATTATTATTATTATTATTATTAAGCAGTGGACAATCCACGAGGTGGCTCTTCCTGTCCACTGTTTCCAGGTTGAATTGGAATTTGGAATGTTGGGGTTTTTTTTTTTTTTGATTTATGAAGGCACAAAAAAACAGCAACGCTTGTTATTGTTACCTGTTGCCTATTATCATTATTACCTTTAACAGTATCATCGCCATCGTTTGAGCATTTTAAACTAACGTTAATATGGATAGATCGTAAGTAAAAGTCGAGAGAACTGCTAACTTCCGGCTGCTCTATGGGTCTAAAAAGTTTTGTGTTTGAGCTTTTCATAACTTTTAGATCAAATTTTATTACCCCTCTTCCTGGTTAGAAAAGAGTACTTCTGTAATTCCAATTTGCAATCTCAGGCTACATGTTGGTTTCCCTATCGATAGTCAGGGTTCGACTATAACTTTTCATCTTACTAGCCAAGTGGCTAGTGACAACTTAGATGTTACAACAACTTGAATTTCAGGTTGTTTATTAGCTAAACTGGCTCGTGGGAATCGAAAACCACTATCCAAAACTGAATTTCTACTAGTCTGTGGCTAATTGGCTGCCGCTATTGTCGAGCCCTAGATAGTACTTAACTATTTTGAAAAGCCTCAAATTTGTTAACTATTTTCACGAAATTAACAAAATGGCTATGCTAGACCGTGGTATTTTGCTTTTTTCCAAGACGAATCATCAAGACGACATGCTCCGTTGGCAGCAGTTAACATCGACAGCAGAGTTATTGAACTAGAAATAGAGAAAAATCGCTTGGAGTCTCGACTGTCCACGGCAGTTAACCAAGAAGAATACCTAGCTTTAAAGGAGACTTTGGAGGACACCAAGAAAGTGCAGACCTCTTACAAGGTATAGTTCTCTCTCCAGTGAAAAAATTATTGTATTCCGAACTAATCGAGAGTAGCTGAGGAATGCGAACGCGTTCGGAGCGCACAATTCGCGCGCTAACTAACACGCTTTTAGAATTCCTCGCTATGAGGATTGAGAGCAGCTGGATATAACGAAAGTCAGCAATTTGTCAGTGAAGGAATTCGTCAATAAGAACAAGGAAGAAGTAAGGCAAGATTGATTTGTCATGTAGCGAGTAGCTTCGAGTGGCGAGGAAAAGGAGATAATCTGTTGTTTATTTATTTAACCCATTTTTTCGTTTAAAGGAAGAGTTCGTAGCCGCTAGAAGCAGGATCCAAGAACTCGAAGATCAGCTGGCAGTCGAAGTCCAAAAAAGGTAATTCTCAAGCATTTTGTTAAACCCGGTATAGCAGGCTTAAGGTGCGCATGCATATACTGTACAGACATAACGACTCAATTTGACTTTACTTAGTGAAATGAAAAGTGAAAATGACAAGCTGATTGATCAGTCTATAGCGGAAATAACTACCGCTGACTCTTGTCAGTTGGAAGCAACTGCAGCAAAAATCGCTTTTTTCCATGATCACGCACGTTTAATCTTAGCCTCCACATTTAACGGTCTTTCAGTGCACTTTGGAGCGTTGAGTAGCAAAGCCGAGTGAACGAACGCGGAAGCCACGACAGTAACAGCGTTTATGTTGCAATTGTTGTTTTCCTCGCAACGTAGCGTTTCCCCCACCTTTATCTTCATCGAACGCTCGAGCAATCATCAGTTAGGTAGCTCGGTTAACCCTGGAGCAGATACGTTTTTTCACTTAGACTAGTTATTGCAGTTTCTGTAAAACATGATTTTGAACAGTCTTTTGGCAGTATTCAAGTTTTATTTCGCGCATTCATACCAATCTTCCAAGGAAATATGCAAGAATCGATTTATCGCTTTACCCACACTTCTCTGGCGTCAGTCGTGCATTAGAGCTGGTAAGGCGTAATGGTAAAGCAGCTTAGGTTTACCATTGATTGCCTATTCTTTATTTGTTACGATCGACTTCTGGAGTCTTTCGAGATTTGCATTTTGGTTTCCTTCGTGCTAAGGTTTGTCCCACCTTTTCAACCAATCAGATCCAAAACAAAGAGACATCGTTACTTATCAGTAGCATTTTCCCGCAAATCGGGCAGTTTTGTATGCTTTGCCTTTTGAGGAAAGATTTCTTCAAATACCACTTGCTTTCCCGCCCTTTTGTGGTTTTACCGCTGAGTACCGCGGGCTTCGGTATTTTTTTTTTTTCTCCTGCAGAGGCCAACTTGGTTTTGTTATGTTTTGAGCTCTAAACAAATTACTTTATTTGATGACTTCTTCCTGATAATTCACCTGTTCTGGTATCGAGAACATTGCCTGCCCTTACTAATTGTTCTATCTTCGTTTTTCTTGGGCTTGGTGTAAGGATGCGTTACGAGTTCTTTATCTGATTCTCTCTCTGTTAGTGAACAAAAGGAAGAACAGCTCAAAAATATACAAGAACACTGTTTCCAAGAGGTAGAAGAACTGAAGTCAGCTCTGTCGAGAGAACACTCGCTTAAAGCAGAAATTGCCGAAGAGCTTGACATCAGAGAAAAACGACTGCAAGAGACAACTATTGAGATACGAGCCCTGACGAGTTTGAAAGCTGGTTTGGAAGGCAGCCTTCAAACCAGCAATGCCCGGGCCCATGACAACCAGTTAAAATATGACAAAGAGATAACTTTGGTGAAAAAAGAGGTAGAGGAACTCACCAAACAGCGACAGCGTTTCGAGGAAGAACTGGAGAATAGATTACAGCAGATTCAAGCTTCGGAGAAAGAACGGGATCAAGTTAGAGAGGCTTACGAGAAGATGCTAGCAGACTTAAAAAGCGAGTTGGGTGAGTTTATTGTGCGATTCTCGGACTGAAAGAACTCGTGAAAAGTAACTATTTCTGTAGAACACTGTCGTGTGACTGTTCTCATGTGGTTGAGGTTGTCGTTTACGTTGTGATTAGGAAATTATATCAGCGGTCCTTTTCATCCTGTTGATACCGGAGGAGCCCATATCAATATGATCATCTGTAACAGCAACTTTTTACTGGTATAGATTATGCTTTAAATTCCACACTATAGTGGGAAATTGCTGTTGTGCAAATTTCTTCGATGATATTTCAAACACAGAACGATTTATCTTCAGTGAAAAGGAAAATGTAACCGGCTAACGATGGCACGCAACTTGGTTGTTTTGGTCAGATACCAGCTCTTACTGAAAACGCCGCCCGACGCGGGTGTTCTTTCTAAATAGCCTTTCGCTTTTACTGCCAACATTTCTAATCATAATTTTTTTTTTTGCTTTGCTTACAAAGACTCCAAGATCGTCAGTATGGCACAAGAAAAAGCCGCGGTTGCTTCTGAGTTCCGTTCAAAAACTAACCAATTCGAGGAGGAGTACGAGAAGATGAAGGAGGACTTTGCCAACAAACAGAAAGCCATGCTGGAAGAAGCCGAAAGAAACGCCGCAAAAATCCGGGAGGCTTGCGACGCAGAACGCTTCGCTTGGAAGAAGAAATTTGATCAACTGTCAGAGGAAGCGACGAATACAAGAAGCGAAATGTTTGAAAATTCAAAGAAACACTCGGAAGAATTGATCGAAGTGCGAAAGAAAGCCCTAGAAGAAGAAGAACGGTTGGACGAAGAAGCCAGGAAAACCAGAGAGGACAACGTTCACTTGAAGAATCAGCTTCTGAAATCTAGAAGCATCATTGCTGAGCTGGAGTTGGAAGTGAAAGGTTACGAAACGGCCAAGAAGGAACTGGAATCGGAGCGCAAGAAATGTTTTGAGCTGAAAGGCAAATGCGAGAGTTATGTTAATAGAGTGGAGGAACTGGAAGCAAGCGTTGAGTTGCTAAGGAAAGAAGCAGAAACAGAGAAAGAACTAACAAGGAACGAGATACGTCAATTAGAAGAAGCCAAACAAACTGAAGTAAACGTTGTTCAAGAGGTGCTTGAAAGCTTGAAGACGGATTACAGCGAATTAGAAATGAAGAGACAACAGGAGGGTGAAGCGCTAGCAAAATTGGAAAAGGATTACAGTGAGTTGGAAAAGAAAGGGAAAGAAGAAATAGACAAGATTATCGGAGAGGCAAAAGAAACAAAGGGTGAATTATTATTACGGGTAAATGAACTGGAAGCTAAATATGGCGAAAAGGTTAAACAAGTTGAAGAACTTGATTTGTTGTTGAAGGAAACGTTGCAAACGAAAGAGGACGCAGTTAATGAAGTGAAAAATTCTGAGGCTAAATGGGAGAGCAAAGAGAAGGCACTACTGACGAAGATAGAGGAGCTGAAGCGTACTTCTAAGGGAATGAAGGAGACAGAGAAAGCGTTTGCAGAGCTTAAAGATCACATGCGGGAATTACAGGCTGAGAAAGATCAACTGGAGCAGAAAGTCGAGGAAGAAACTCTTATCAACAGACGGCTTGGTACAGAAGTGCATTCTATGGAGGCACAGCTGGCTCATGCTGACAAACAAATACGAGAACTTAGAAAAACATCAGGAGAGTTTAAGAGTTCCACAGAGTCGCCCAGAAGAAAGACCATAGGCGGGGAAAGACCGCAAATGTACGCTCGACAAGATTTTTTCGATGAGGATAGTTCTACTGATACTGACGAAGGACCACCATTGAAGCTAGCTGATTTTGCAAGCTCTGTCGAGGGAAGCATGAAAGCACCTACACTCCCAAGCAATGCTTTCAATCAGTTAAACAGATCTCTCAACACTCTGCACTCGGCCTCAAGTTCAAGCCTGAGGGCGGGTGTTCAGACTCGTGCCAGTCGCCGGCAGAGTGCTATTTACATGCGCGGTAGCACCCCACCTGAAAAGCGCACCACAAACAGTGCTGCGTATTTTATCCTGGGCGAAGAGCTTGGACCGGAAATGGAAGATACCGAAATGGAATACGATTGGGACCGACTGGCCGAGCTCCAGCGTCGGAATGCGTCGTGCCTGCCGCATCTACAGACATCTTACCCGGTAGAAACTCAAATGAACCCTGACTTCTCTGGACAAGAAGATGCGCTCAAAACAGGAAGAATGTCTTTGGACGCGTCACTGACCAAAGGATTCCAAACACGCAAAAGAAAATCAGAGGAAAGTGCGTCTAGTCTGTTTAAACCAAAGAACAGCGGTAGACCGAGTATAGCTAAATCTAAGTCTGCCCCCAGCATTACCCCAGCTAAACAGCCACGATCCCAGCGTTTTGCTACAGCAATGCAGTCGGCAATTGGATCTCTTCGGTCCCGTTCAAACGAAAATCTGCCCAATGATGCAGCTCCAGACGAAAGTTCTTCGCGAAGGGAAAGCATAGCGTTTAACATCGAAATGTCCCCTCCAAAGAAAACGAAGACCTCGATTGCGCGGCGTCGCACCATTGCGCGGTCGACAGCAACAAGCTGCCTGTTAGATGAGGGAAGCAGACGCTCCTTAAAGAAAACAAAGTCCCAGAATCTGGTTACAAGCACGGTTAAGGATAGAAAGCCGCTTAGACCGCGCGACTTGAAAAGAAATGCAAAATAACACTGCAGAACTTTGTAAGGAGAGGAAAGTGGATTGCACAGTTTGAAAGAGCAAAACCACACGCCCAGCACGCAGTGGTAAAAACGCATGTAGAGGCTGAACGCACAATAATTTAGAAAGACATTTTGGGATTCTCCTTAAATTACGTAAGGAAGTAACGACTCATTTTGAGCAATTGGAAAATACATGACCTTATGTTAACATATGAAAACTATTTTGAGACGTTTTGATCACTTTTTAGAAAAACAAAATTGTTAGGACACGTCAAACCGCTTGTCTTTTCACAAGTTTTACGTAAGTGCGAGTGCCATGTCTGGATTCGCACGTTTCGAATGGGACTCATAATTTTAATTTATTGTACATATACTGCATAAGTGGAAACTTGGTTGATTTTGCGAAAGAATTTATACAGTTTTGTTTTGATGGTCTGCCATGAGTTTTCATAGGGATTTTTAACGTAGTAGGGGACATTTTCATACGTTAGGGCGGAAAATCTGATCATTTCAGTTTCATATGGTAATACAAATGTTTACTTAATCCTGTGTGTCTTGTGTAATGATAAATGTCACTTTGGAAGTTTTATACTTCCAAAGAGATAAAGAAGAAACTCTCTCGTGTAAGCAGGGATTGCATCACAATAAGTTAAGGTAGTCACTCTAAGAGAAATGCAGTCATCGGGCGAACGCCGGGCGCATAATTGGGTACGCCTTAGAAGAACAAAGTGCGAGAATCTCGAATATGAAGTATTTCATTTCACGGACAGTGCCTTGTTTCATACATAAGCCTAATAATGCTCAACCAAGGGTCCTTCAAAAGTCTAAATGGAAAATTGAAAAGTGTCAACGGATGAGTCTATGCAACCACTACATGAGAGACGGATCATTATTTATCGCCTGCTTTTAACCTGATTCACCCTGAGACTCTGTAGTATTCCACTCATCGGCAGTGAATTTTCCATACTCTCCCTTTTATACTCTTTGAGAGAGGACTGATTCCTACTTCGTTCCCCCTGAGAACCACGTTATCCAGCTTCAAATCCTCTTTCCCCCCCACCCTGCCCCTCCCCTAGGCAATAGATAATGACTGGTACTTTGTTTCCTTTGAGTTCGACTTCTGCAATTTTTGGTAAAATTTCGCTTTTCTTATAAATTTTTTTATACATACATACATAAGCTTTATTTATCCTTGGATTTCAGTGTAGCTTACAAGCTAGTATCTCCGTTCCTAATTACTAATTTTAAAAGTTACGGCAAGAACAAGGCTAAAAAGATAAAAAAATAATTCCTAATATAGTAATCATTAATATAATAATGTGTAATATTAACAGAAACCGTGCACTAACAGTTTGCGCTTAAATTCACTATAATCTACAGTCTTTCTAAAGTGGTCAGGGAGGGAGTTCCATTACTTAACAGATGAATAGCTAAAAGAATTTAGACCATATGTGGTTGTAAACGGCTTAGGAAGTGATAAAATATTGGTGCCCCTTAGGGAGTAAGCAGTAGATCTTAGCTTGATCAGTTGTTTCAAATAGCACGAATATTTATCAAGATGGAGACAGTTGAATATACAAATCATATTTTGTATTCTCCTGTTGGCTAATCCACACGCACCTGCCTTGTCTAAAGATCATCATAGTTCGAGTCCCAGTCCTTTCAAACAAATCTTAAAATACGTCTATTTAAGGTGTCCAGTTTAACAGAGTCCTCTGAATTACAAAAGTGCCATATCATTGAACAGTAGTGAAAATTGGGGTAACATAGATTTTACTAGCGCCACTTTATGTTTACATATCCAGTCACCATTTTCATAGTCTAGTTAAACAATTTAAACCGGTTTAACCAATTTAGCTGGTTAGACAATTTACACACTGGTTGCATTATTTGAACGTACATAATTCATAGTTAACAGTTGCGCAATTTTGATCTAGCCTTGCCATGTTAACAGTCGGACCATTTTCACCTGTTGGACCATTTTATCTATATTTAGACCTTGTTAACCAAATGGGCCATTTTATCTTAGATCATTTGAACCGGTTGCATCATTTTAACGGCTTGGACGATTTACACTGGGTCACTCATTTTAACCAGTTGGACCATTTTGACGGGTTGGACCATGTAATCGAGCAAGCCCATTTTAACGGATCTGGTCAGACAATTCTTACTGTTTAGGCCATTTTGGATAATTAACATGGGTTAAACCATTCAATATTAGAAAGACCGATGCGGAATTTTTAAATCTTTTTCTGGAATTTTGGTCTTAATTATTAACAGACGTCTCGACTGAAACCATCAGTCTTCACCAGTGCAGTTTGTCACGTGGTAGATCACTATCACGTGACAAAACGTCGGGGAACGGAGACGAGGGCCCGGTCCAAAGCGTGAGACAGAGAGAACCGGAGCCCCCCTCTGTCTCACGCTTGGGACTGGGCCCTCGTCTCCGTTCCCCGACGTTTTGTCACATGATAGGGATCTACCACGTGACAAACTACACCGATGAAGACTGATGGTTTCAGTCGAAACTTCTGTTAATAATTAAGACCAAAATTCCAGAAAAAGATTTTAAAATTCCTCATTTGAATTGAACCTGGATGAATGGCAATATTCCCTTTCATATTAGAAAGACCATTTCAACTGCTCGAACCATTTTATTCAGGTTGACCATCTTTACGGGTTTGACTCCTATAAATTCCGATTTATCTATAAACGCGGAACACACGAATGAAATAATTTAAGCTCCTAACCTAAAATAATGGAGATCGAAAAACATAGAGAGACAGAAATGTTGTTTTCACATGTTTTTCTTCCTCTACAGTTCATTAGCAGGCTTCTTGTGGTTTCACGATGTCAATTCGACGTTTCTGCACGGCAAACCAATCAATCATTTAATCAAACAATCAATAGACCACTTTCATAAATGGCTGCCGGATCAATATTCTTTTGTTTAAATTTAAATTAGCCCTTCTTGCCTCGCTTGAGATAATTTTTTTTTTTGAATTTTGTACTGGAGAGCAAGGCCAGAAGGGCTAATTTAAATTTAGACAAAAGAATATTAATCCGGCAGCCATTTATGAAAGTGGTCTATAGACTTTAGTTTAAGTTTAAGTTTAATTAATTCGCCACGGGAATGGCAGGAAAAAGGAACAGAACTTGCGTTCCAATTGACACCTAACCCCTTTTTTACCCACCCATCCCACCCCGGGGAGGATATCCATTACACAGTAATCTCGTGTGTAGGAAATTAACGTCTCCTACCCCAACCCTGCAGGAGACGGGACCTCCATTTATTCGTCCCTATCCGAGAAGACTAGAATATCTAACCATTTCTTGATGTTATTGAAAGGCAGCATATTCTTCTCAATTATTTTAAGACCTTGAGTGTTAGTCCGGCCGGGGCTCGAACCCTCGACCTCCCGCACAACAGTGCAGCGCTCTATCCATTGGGCTAACCGGGAGGCGGTTATATAGGAGGGAAGCCGGCACCTAACAGTAGTAAAACTGATGAACTTGTGGCCTTTTGTAAGATAAAGCTTAAAGTAAGAAAATTAATTTGAAATCACCCACTCCGATCATTTATTCCCTTCATTTTGCGGTAAGGATCATTTTTCCTTTTTTCCGTTCAGGACTTTTTTAAAAAGGAAATGAACTTTTGATTTCACTAAATCTGGAGTTGACCTTTATTTTTGAAACCAAACAGTACTATAAATTTTGGTCAACAAATGGCACGCAAACTTGCCTTCTTATGATTCTCATTTTGACTGAATCTTACTTATGATATTTTAGCAGATAGACACATAGATGAAGTCACCATTGGAAATATTTTGCTTCCTTATCATGTAAAACATGGATTCCATGTTGTTGGGTTTCTTCACTGACAATTCACGGAAGACATCGAAACGTGGTAAAACATCCGTGAGACACTTGACCACGTCTCGTGTGCCACTTTCTGAACAATCATAACTAAAACATTACCCAAGTACTACAAATGACATACGAGTAACATACGGATATGTACGGCTACATACGAGTGATACCCGAATGCATACGGATACAAACGAGTGTAAATTGCCATTTTTTTTTTTGCAAATTTCACGGAGAGTAATTCTCGAAAACGAAATCACCATGTATTGGACTTTTTTGTGCGAACGCACGTGCACACCACACGCATGTAGCCGTTTTCGTTTTACTTGTGGCTGGCTAGCGGTGCTCAAAGCCTTAAACTTATTCGTAAAGGAAGAAACGCTCGAACTCATGATGGGGGCCTTGGCTTGAACCAGGCGCATTGTCTTCTTGAGGATGAATGCCTTGTGCTGCATGGCGTGTCATTGTGTAAATAGTTCACATGAAACTGGTCACGACGGTTATGTTGCAACATAAAGAGAAAAAATGGCAAATTTTAACCCCAACGTTTTCGTATGTATTCGTTCATCGCTCATATATAGTCGTATGTACTCGTACGTATCTGTCTGTTACTCGTATGTCCGTGATGTGAACTGTTTGAATTCTTCCGTGCGTAAGTAAAGTTAACAGTTGTCATTTTACTTCTATTGGTGCTCTATCACAAAGCGTACTGTAACAGAGGATCTAGGTCAGTTTTCCAACTCATATGGAACAGTTTTTTTTCTTCTCCAGTTTAATCGAGCGGTGAATTGTGCATCAATAGTAATTTTGTCAAAACTTTTTAGACAGGCCGTTGCGATCCATTTTAATCTTCTCAGAGACCCTTACTCATAGTTTAGTCCAACTCCCAACTTTAACGCTCTATCAAACCACCCTACCCATCTCACCCCCCCCCCTACTCCGCGCACGGGGTTTATACACATTTTCAGAGCTTGGGGTGGAGCGGGTGGGGTGAGCCGGTGTTGGGGAATCTTGGTCATAGTGTTGTTTCTGAACTCTCTCCCAGCTTTAATGAACACGCTATTGTGTACAGTCAGTCCAATATCTTAAAGGAGAACTGGTACAGGCTCTCAAATAGAAGCTTGTTTGGAACGGAAACGATACTTAGCGCAAATGTACCACAATACTAAAGTATACAAGGTGTCTTTACAAAGCAATGTTATGGCAGTATGACTTTTAACTGCGCACTTCTTTTTTTCTTCTTTTTTTCTTCTTTTTTTCTTCTTTTTTTCTTCTTTTTTTCTTCTTTTTTTCTTCTTTTTTTCTTCTTTTTCCTTGGGAGCGGGGGAATAGGAGGAATTTAGTGAAAGAGAAGACACAGGGAACAGGGGAGGATAATTGTTTTCACCCGCTGTAATCACATTTAAGGTGGCTCGTACCGGTTTTCATCTTTTTGATGGTTTGTAACTTTGAAAGAATACAACAGAAAGACTGACCAAGGCCAGTCGAACACTTTTACGGGGTTGAATTACATAAACATTGGTTATCCAAAAATAAGTGTCATTTCGTCACTAGCAGTTT